TTTTTTTTTTAATTCGTTTGAGACTCATCAAATCCTCTCAACAAATTAGTATCAAATATTACTTTTACGGCACATAAAATATTTCAGAATAACGTCCAATAAACATTCAACTTTGACCAGTACTTTATAAGTAACACAAGCGTTCGCAAAACAACAATGAACTCTCTTAATGTATTCACCATTAATTTCTATAGATATCTCTTCCTTTAAAACTTCAAAAAATTGGGATTTATTGCCAGTGAAGACTAGTATTATTTCCAGTGGCATAGTCTAACCAAGCTGCACCCCCACCCCCACACACACACTTACTCTTCTAAGAAACCTCTGGAATTATAAAAGGGCCAACCCAGATATAATTCTACTCTTATCAAATTTTTGCATCTTTCTATTGAAGAGATTTTCGACCATTTGAAAATTTTAAACCATAATTTTAAACTATTTTACACCACAATTAGATATGTTCTGATGCGTTTTCAAATTGTAAATTTACAGCGAGGCATCTGGGCCCTTCAAGACCCATGTTCTCATTGCAGTAAAGGCCCACTCCAGGACTGACCCGCCACCTAGAGCCACATGGAGCCCAGTCCAATGACGACATTCCACTGGCAAAACATAATTAAATTAAACACCCCTTTTTTTATTATTACAAGAATGCCATTGTCACAGTCGACGTCCAACCGTGCGTTCCTTTTCGCGCAAAAACGGGAATTTCATCTGAGAAAATAAAAGAATAACGTTCTCCTACCGATCCCATTCACTTTCTCTCTCTGGATATATATAGAGAGATAAAATGAGTTGGTGGTATCTGGTACGTGATGGCATTAACTTTTTAGTTTCTATTTATTCATCTCTCTCTCTCTCTCTCTCTCTCTCTCTCTCTAATTGCACATTTGCACTATCATAGTTGTTGCTATTGTTGCTGTTGAGTAGCTAGATAGTTAGAGATAAAAGGAGAGATTTCTACAGAGATTTTTTAGAGAGAGAAGGGGAAATTGTTTAATGGGGTCATCTGGACAAGGGCAGAGCAACTATGATCTGTCGTTCAAGATCTTGCTGATCGGGGATTCTGGAGTCGGCAAGAGTAGTATTCTTATCAGTTTTATTTCTAATGCTGTTGACGATCTTGCCCCTACAATCGGTACTATTCTGTTTCTGTATCAATCTATTGGGATGAACTTTATGTGTAAATTGTAATCTATGCCCATTGCGAATTCTATATTTGTGGGTTGATTGATTTGAAAAAAGATTGAAATTTAATTATTTAAGTGCTTTTGCTGGGATTTGGTAAAGGTATGCGATCTGGAACTTAAATTTGTGTGTAAAGAGATGAATATAAACTTGTATATATATGTGTGTACTTATTCATTGATTGCAGTAGGTACTGAGGTTTATCCCAGATTTAATTTGCTGAGATTAATTGATGTTTTTTTTTTTTTTTGTCACTTGATAGAATTAGGTGTCACTTGGTATTTGTCATTGTAAAGTAAGTTGGGTTGGTTTTCTCAGTAGATTGTGTGTATCTGTCCTTGTAAACCATATTTATGTAAGAAATCTTTAGCTAGCTATCGACCAACTTCGAAAGATCACGGAGACTATAATCGTGTTTGATATTAGTATGGTCACTTGTTTTGGTAGTACGACCCTTTTTCAATTGCGAGTTCATGTTTTGTTTATAAGATGTTGCAGCTTGAAAATCTAATAGGCATCGTTTAGGCATTTATGGGTGGGGTCTGGTTATCATCTACTTGGTGAAAGAAAACAATGAACAAGCTGTTGAAGGAAACATTTAAATGAATAAATTTGTCCCTTGTTCAACATGATGTTAGAGCATGCAAATGTCGTTGGTACAAATCTCGACGTGTTAGGGAATACAAAACCTAACATGCGAGGGGGATTTGTGAAGGCAAAATTTAAATGAACAATTTATTCTTCTCTCTCATGTCTTGAGCTCTTAAATGAGATGGTTCAACACAAGTATAGTCTACCAGTAGCAGAACACAAAAGGATCGTACAAAATAAGACATCTGGAAACATATTGGCTGTCCAGTAATTATGCAGGCCGTAATGTAATGTATTCTCTAACTGGAAGCCTAAATGAACAGCATCTCATCCACGACTATAGTTATGCTCTACACTTCCAAATATCTTTTTGACGGAGTATTGCTAATTGTTAGGTTTAATTATACTAGCTGATAGAATAATATCTTTCTCCATTCATAGAGTTGACAGAATTAGAATTCCAAGAAACTTTTACTTGAATTTTATTATTATTCAGGTACGGATTTTATTGGAGGAATAGTTTTCTTGTCTTCATTCCTTCTCTCCCATGTCCAGGTGTGGATTTTAAGATCAAATTATTCACAGTTGGTGGGAAAAAGTTGAAGCTTACAATTTGGGACACTGGTTAGGATTGCCTTGAATCTTTTGTTTTATCCTCCCACCCCATTAACAGGAATTTGAATGACTTATACAGGATTTTCCTTTAGTGATCATACGGCATGTCTCATTGTTTATAATGTACTGGGTCGCCTATTCGTTCATTTTCCTACTAAGCGGAACTGTAGAATTTATAATACATTTGCAGCTGGACAGGAGAGGTTCAGGACATTGACGAGCTCATATTATAGAGGTGCCCAAGGGATTGTTCTTGGTAGGTTTTTGCCAAACCAAATTCACTTATTCTACCAGGGGGTATCAAATATTTATTTTCCAAAGTTTTACTTGTAAAAATGACTTGTATTCCACCTTTTGTTGTACTTCTTCGAGCATAACATTGTTTTGTGCATGGAACAGTTCTATCTTCTTTTTTATGAACGACTTATTGTCTTTGAGGATTACCAACGATCATGATGAGAGAATTCATGGTTGCATGTGGCATAATAAGTGTGTTATATACTATATTGATCCTTGTATATTAGTTAACAGCCATTCACAAATTTTCTTAACGTGTGAGGATAATCTGATAGTGCTGATTGTTTTCTGGTTCGTGGGAATTGTAATTTTCCCCTTAAGTTTTTATTTGCTCTTGCCTTCTTATTTCAACCATACTCGCTAGAAAGAAAAAACTACTTCCATCTGTGGTCCAATTAAACGAAATTTAGTAGTTGGGTGTTGCAGATGCATCCACCAGAGCATACCTGTGGAATGAGTGAACCACTACTTTCATTTTCGTTTTGCTTTGCTTTATGTATGAATTTTTAACGAGAAAAATGGGAAAAGGAAGTAAACACACTTGGCCCTTTTCATGAATCAGCATTTATATGGTTGTGCACAAATTTTAAGGAATTCCATGATTGTAATATGCAGATGTCGGCCTTCAAATTTTATGGTCTCTATAACTGCACTTCTTCTTTTCTCATGGTATCCATTGATTAGTTTTATTTTCTGTTTGCTTTGTAGTTTATGACGTGACAAGAAGAGATACCTTTACAAATTTATCTGATGTATGGGCAAAAGAAGTGGAACTTTACTCCACTAATCAGGATTGCATCAAGATGCTTGTTGGAAACAAAGTAGATAGAGTAAGTCTTTCGCTCTCTTTCCCTCACTTATCCCTTTTCTGTATGCTCGAAAATCTAATTAGGAACAAGTGAGCCATTAAATAGATTATGCTGACTATTTCTGTGTTGATAAGGGGGAGGCGATTGAATCAGATTGAAATTTCAGGTTCCTTAGCCTGTTTTTAACTGCTATTTTTCTCTGTTTCTTGGAAAATGGTTTTGCATTCATGGTTCTCTTTCAACAAGAAGAGATGACAAAATTGGTAAAGCTGTCGCGCCATAATTCAATTATACCAGAATGTTTGACAAAGTATTTTTGGACTCTGCAATGTGCAAATTTGCTTCTATTTCATAGGGGACATTGTTGGGTAGTGGTTGAAGTGTAGAATTACATGACATTTAAAGAGTCACATACACAGTAGTTTCTGTTTGGGCGATGTCTACGGTTTCTTGTCAATTTTATTCTTTTTCTATCTCAGTCCTTCACTTTAACTCGTATACATAATTGATGAAAATGAAATTCAGGAATCCGAACGAGTTGTAAGTAGGGAAGAAGGCATTTCCCTAGCGAAAGAGTTTGGATGTCTATATCTTGAATGCAGTGCTAGAACTCGGGAAAATGTGGAACGATGTTTTGAAGAGCTGGCCTTAAAGGTAAAGCAATACATTAATTTCTGCAATATGATTTCAAACTACAACTTGATTGTTGAACTTCATATTGTTACTGTTAGATTATTTTGTTATTTATTTACTTATTTCCTATTATTAATAGGTTTCCTATTACTGGTAGGTTTCCTATTTTCTATATTTTTCTACATTTACTAGTAAGTGTATTTAAACACTTTTATTATGTAATTTCATTATTCAATTTTATTGGAATAAAAAGCCATAGTTTTCTTAATTTATACATGGTATCAGAGCCACAATTCCTCCATTGTTAGGTTTCCTATTTTCTATATTTTCTAGTGAGTTTATGATCTTGTCTGGGAGTGATTTTCAACGGGAGAGAATTGATTTTTCAGCCTTTTTTTTTACCGTTTCTCATACACATGCAGCCCATTGTTGTGAAATTCAGCCCGTTGAGTGGTGCAACGGTCAAAAACCGACTTTTAGTCCAAATTTTAAGTGGTGCCAGACAAGGCCTATATAAACACATTTATTATTTAATTTCATTATTCAATTTTATTGAAATAAGAAGTCCTCGTTTTCTTAATTTCTACAGTTACAAAGAGGAATAAAGTCCCACAAAGAATTATCTTGTGACGTTTCTAATTATAGAATAATATGTTACCGTTTAACAATGTTCATTTACCACGTTCTTGTTGTTGAATGAACTTTCGATTCTCCCAGATTATGGAGGTGCCAAGTCTTCTTGAAGAAGGATCTACATTAGGGAAGAGAAACATCCTGAAACAGAAACAAGAACAGCATACACCTCCTGGTGGCAGTTGTTGTTCGTAAATCACTGCCAAATCAAGGCCCTGATGTAAAAGCCATTGAAAGGCATTTCAAATCTCGAGTTCTTCGACAACAATCTGTGATCAAATTATGTAAATGTAATTACTTTAGCTTGTTGTGCTCTGGATACATGCGTTCCTGCACTGGGATTGTTGACTAATAACATCTGTTAGCTTGTGTAAATTTGTTGGCACCATGTTTTTTTGTCTTCACTGGTGTTCATACTTACCCAAGTTATACTAAACAAAATTGCATGATTTTTTAAATCAGATCTTATGTTTGGTTTTTCTTGCTTCGCATTCTGGATAGAACTTCTTGTTCAGTCATGCTACAGTGCCAAATAGGTTGACAGAAAGATTGACATACCATCACGTAGCATTCTACCATTGAATTGTTTAAAGGACAAATATCCTTGGCCGGGCTCAAAAGCATGGCTCTTGTTTAAAATACAGTCAGTTTTCCTATCTAATCATCTGCTGCCATCTATACTTCTGTCACTATATCTATCAAAATCCTACAAAGTGGCATAATCCCTTGTTATTTTACAGCATCAACCGAACAGACCACATCTCTTATTTCTTGTTGGCTATTTATGTTTGTTGCTTTTGCCATTTTTTGTTAATTTCCTTTAACAAATTTTGCCTCGTTTATTAATGTTGTTTAACTTGTCTAGTTGCCAGATTTTATGGGGTGAATATCCACGGCTTTAATAGGCATAACATGCCTCCCTTTAAGGTCACTTGAAAGGGAATTTGAAAGTCAAAAACTGCTTATGAGAAAAAGAAGTCGCATTTGTATCCGTTTGAATAATTTTTTACAAAGTCATTTGTCTAGTTAGAAAAGATTTTAGAGGAACCTAATTCGGATGGCTTTATCAAGTTCTTCTACAAAAAAAGAAATAGAATTAGAAGCCTTGTCAAATAGATATTGACATATAAAAGTCACAGCAATAACATATTTATGGAGTCTTTGAATTAAACATTCTGGTATTCACAAAATGGGATAGGAATTATTTCAAATTCTAATTTGTTTGGGATGCAACACAACCAAGCATTGTTGAAAACAAGCAACTCTAATTTGGTTATATTTTAGTAACTATTTTTAAGTAAAATAAGTACGATAAAAAAATAATTTATTAATTATTTGTCAGCATCTACGTCGAGTTTGACACTATCCTCCATGTATAAAGTACAATGAGGGGACGTACAACTTTACCTTGAGTCGCCCCTTTAATCTCGATTGCATAGACCGATTTGTATGTTTACAAAATTGAATTTTGTAACATTCTTTTATGCATCTGTATGTAAGTAAAATGTGACGATAACTTGGTATTAATTTGAGCCCCGAATTGATTAAGAATAGGAGATAATAGGCTGTCCATTCATATAATTTAAAGCAATTATAAAGTATTTATACATCATGACTCCAAGTACCCTACACACTCGGGCCATTTAACCTTTATTTGATTCGGTTAAAAATCATATTTTTAGTAAAATTTCGATAAAAGTTAATCAGAAATATAATTAAAAAGTTGATACAAGTCATGGATCTCATTTAACCTCTGTTTGATTTTGACTTAGATTTTTTATCAACTTTATTAAAAAGTTATTTGATTTTTTATGAGACGACAGATGTGTATAATTATTGAGATTCACGAGCTATTTATAAGCATGGACTGTATAGAATGACCAAAGTGGTTTAACTACTGTGTTTATAACTCTAAACTAACCAATTCAGTGTGGTTGACACAACAATATGTTGACCCAAAAATCACTCCAGCTTAGTGATTAATTAAATGCATTACTTAGTCACATTTTCTTTCTTAAAACATGGATTAGCTATATATGCCACTATTCACTTACCTTTAATGATGGCTAAAAATTATAATTATTTAT